TCTTTTGCTGCCGAATAAATTATAACAAATTTGGTCCAATATTGGCAGCACCCATGCACCCTACACCCCGTGCCCACTTTCCACCGGGTTTAGGAAAAAAACCACCCGGAAATAAGACCCCCAGAATCGACAAAAGCGGAAAAGTGCCACCCCGTTATGCTCACGTCAGATTGAAGACGCATTAATTTTTGTGACATTTGTTGATATTGATGTCATGTCATTTCATCAACTTCTTATGAAAAGAAAAAAAAATCCAACTTCAGCCCATTTATTAAAAGCGGAGACTATGGCCAATTCCCCGCAGAAAATGCTGGAGATTTATCTCTCCTTGGCTGTAACGTAGACAAAGGTTCTGGAGACGTTCCTGAAGTTGCAAATGAACTCTTTTCCTCTTTTTCTTTGGGGGATCTCCAGCATCGGTTTTTGCCATCAACGTGATGGTGGTTGCATGGACAGACTGCAGGACATCTATCAACTTCCATATTGTAGGGTGGTTATGTCCAATAAGTTTCTGCAATCGCAGGTTCCAAGCCTCGGAATGATTCTTTGTCCTACTCTTTCCATGGAGAGTAGCGTCATGTTGTTTCCATGTTTCGGGTGGGAACAACGCTGGGGTGAAGGCGCACCGCAAACCTCCTGGTTTTGGAATCCGGCGTACGTTCCCACTGAAGTTGCGTCATGATATGATACCAAGTCCTCCACTTCTGGAGGTGCTTCTTCTCTGAGGTGACGCATCTCTTCTTCTATTAATACTTCGGCTTCTAGAAGGAACGCCAACCCGTCCGATTGCCCCACGAAATGCCGTAGGTCTTCGTTCTCGCGGTACAATCGGACAGGTTCCAGTTCCTGCACCTTTCTCCATACCGATTGTGTCTAATGGAAATAGCAACCTCTGATCCTTACACGATCTCCAAACACCTGTCGTACTGCTTGAATAGAGCTGATTTCAAAATGCATCATGACTTCGTCCGGATCTGAGTACTATTCGAAAGTAGCACAATGACTGACAATATTATCCAGGAATGACTGAATCATCTTGGTACTTCCTTCTGAGAAGCGCAAACACAGTTGATACCGTCTTCTCTCCCAATGGGACATGAATGACATAAAGTTGCTTGAAACCCTTCGGTGCTGATTCAAATGTACCGTCCATATGCTTAGACTTCGTCAGAAGCTCCAGTGTCTTCTTGGAGGCAAAGATCATAATCTTTGAGTCCTGGTTTCCTCTATTGTCGTGCATTAGAAACCTTTCTTTGTCATCCCGTCAATCCCATACACCGTCAATCACCAAGTCGTCCAAATCTTCCGGTTGCGGTGGGTACTTCATACCTCGAAGATGTCGGAGAGAACGCTTCGCTGAATCCTCATTTCCGATGGAAACTCTTGCTTCTTCTCGAAGGCTACGTACTCCTTCTGCGTAAACTACTTCTGATTTGTCATGGGAATTGATCACTCTTTGTTTCATAGGTTTGTGACATTTAGCAACATTCACTGTCGCTATATTTGCTGCGTGGTTATGGTCAACCGATGATAAGACTGTGCTCATAGTAGGATTTGTCCCTAAGTCTGTTCAAGTCCATGTTCATAACAGAACAGTCCTTCTTCCCTACATTATGAACGTAGGAAAATAATATTTCTATACAATCGATTTAAAGAGATGCTTTCAATCGAGAGATGTTTTTGCCTTTTCCATTATCTATGAATGGAAACGAAAAATCAATAATACATTAAATGAACTATTGGTGGCAATTCATTGAAAATTAAAAACTTAGATAATAATTAGGGCTGTCACGATAGGTCGATGCATCGATACCGCTATCGATAGTTGGAGATATCGATAGTTTTTTCGACCATCGCGATGCATCGGCAAAAGATTTTAAGGGGGAAATGTCCCATTGGATTGAGGCGAGTACAGTTCAATACAGTCCGTCCGGGCGGGGAAAGGAAGAAGCGGCGTGACCCTAATGGGCTTGCGATTTTTTTTATCACAATCAAATTCTGGAAATGCTGGGAGTGACCTTATGAAAGACGGGAAGGGAAAAACAAAGTCGGATCGGAGACAGGAAGTGGGAAAGGAGAGGGGGGAAGACCGAGAA